GGAAGGTGAGGGGGACGGGAGGGGGGAGAACAAGGGAATCCATGACTGATATGTAGAACTGAATTGTATTGCAAAATAAATTAAAATAAATTAAAAAAAAAACAACTCAGCTTCCACTGATCCAGGTATCTCAATACAAGGCCCAAATGGTACAGATTAATGATTAATTCTTTGGTACAGCTAAATACTTTCTGAGCAGGTCACTGGTACAGACACCTTAAACAAGTAATTACCAAAGTAATAAATGGGACCCCATGAAACTAAAAATCTTCTGTGCAGCAAAGGACACCATAAAGTGATTGACAAGGCAGCATGGAAGAATGGTTAAAAGTCTTTACACATTGTACACAGGAGAGAGGGTATGTAGAATATAAAGAATGCATTGTTACTTCAAATCTGATCCATGATATTCACATTGAGTCTTGTCTTTACCCAGTTGTGTAAATACATTAAAAATAGAGCAATTACAATTATCAGAAATTTACTTACTATACATCAAAGGAAATATTTAGCAATGTCATGGGATTCTAAGAATACTTTGTAATTAAGAATAGATTAAATGCTTTCATTTTATTACTCAATTATTAATTTTTTTGACTGAATAACGTGGTTTAAAATGTAGCATGTGGGTCTATGGCAAAGTCATTGAAGCAAACAATAGGAAATGAGAAATTTAAATTTAAATTTTACGTACAAATTCTTGATTTTCTGCACTCTTATCAAAACTTCTCTCATTTTCCACTTTAAGTTCTGTTATTTCTTCTTGTATTTCTTCTGAAAATATTATATCTTTTACATAAAAAATATGAACAACAATTAGGCAAAATAATACTCTATAAAAATAGAAATAATGTAAAGTTAGGGTTTTATTTTTTATATTTTATTTCAATTAACCACATGGTATAGGTGTATATTTACATCCTCAAGAAAACTTGTAATTGTAGACAAATCAACACTTGGACAGGTACTACATATTGGCCAGTTTTGAGTCATACATGCTTCACATGATTTGTCAGGTGAAAGGCCTCCAGGAGCGGAGCCGCGGGCAACGCAGGCCGGGCCGCATCCCCGTCCCCGCGCCAGCCGCCCGCGCCCGCCATGCGCGCCCCGCAGCGGCCCGCGCGCCCGGGCCCCGCGTCGTAGCGCGGCGGGCAGAGACCGCAGGCTCCCAGCCCGGGCCCGCCGTGTCCTCGAGCCCGATTGGCGCCGCTGCCCGGCGCCAGCGCCCAGTGCCGCCGCCGGCGAGGGTGGTGCGGGCCGCGACCCGGGCGCCCGGGGCCCTGCGGGATGGAGCAGGCCGAGAGCCGGGGACCCTCCGGGCGGTGCAAACTGGGACCCGGGTACCCCCGGGGTGGTGCAGCTTGGGGACTCGGGGACCCTGTGGGGGTGGCGCGGCCTGAGGACTGGGGAGCCCTGCAGGGAGGTGCAGGCCGGGACCCCGGGACTCTTCTGGGGTGGTGCTGAGGGGCCCCAGCATGCTTGCTTGGCCTGACGCCATTTTGAGCAGGGCCTGAGGAGTACGGGGAGGGTTCAGTTGGAAGACATGGGCGCAGGAACGAGCGGGGTGTCTGCGGTCGGCCACCTGGCCCCAGAACAGGGAACTAAAGGTCAGAAAAACAACTTGTACCCTGGATGAGAGCCAAGTCAGCAGGCGTGTCGAGCTCGGGGAAAAACCACGAGCTGTCCTGAGTTTGAACCTGGCCTCATACGAATCGTCCAATCAGAACCCTGTAAACCATGCTTCCTGCTTCTGTACCCGCCCTTCCGCTGCCCGACCCTATAAAAACCCTCCACTCCAGCCCGTCTGCGCGCCAGTCTCTTCAGCCTCTGGAGGGACTGTGTCGCCCCGGGTACCCGTGTTCCGGAATAAAGCCTCTTGCTGTTTGCATCTGACTTGTGGTCTCGGTGTGATCTCTGGGCGAGGGTCTCTCCAGAGGGAAGACTACCTTCGGGGGTCTTTCACAGGAAACTCATAAATGACCTATATGCTTACATCCACATATGAAGGAACTGTGGAAAATAACACTTTCATCCTGAAAACTATTTTTGCCTTGCAAGAGTAACTTAAGTAACTCACTGTTCACTTCCCCCAAATGGTACTTGGTTTAACACACATTTTTCTGTGAACAGGATAACATGCTTTTGCTCTTCACTGAAACTGCTCCTTTTTTTTTTTTTTGGTTTTCGAGACAGGGTTTCTCTGTGTAGCTTTGGAGCCTTTCCTGGAACTAACTCTGTAGACCAGTCTGCTGTTGACCTCACAGAGATCTGCCTGCCTCTGCCTCCCAAGTGTTGGGATTAAAGGCACCACAGCCTGACAAATTGCTCTTTTATGACTCACTTTATCACATGGAGTCATTCTGTACTGTACATAATTTTTTTTCCCAAGAAAAATGGGTATTGCTGTAGCTACCCTAGCTTAAGATAATGCTTAAACTCTTCTTTTCGACTTCAACTTGAACCCACTTTGTTACAGTTGTATCCGTTTTTCTCCTTGACATGTAGGAACTATATTCAAGGTTATTCTAAGATCCAAAGATCTCATTTGCTTTTGTTTCCTGTTTTCTTTTAATTACTTTGTGTGATTCTGAAGTTTTGAAAGTAAGTAAGCCATTGCAGACATGATTTCTTTACTGATATAAACACAGAGAGATGAGTTTCAGACAATAGAGTACAGAGAAATGAAAAGGTGTAAAAGCAAACAAGATGTGCATATAAGTAATGAGATTTTCAGTGACTGAACTGCCGTATGCGAGTGTACCCTAATTTATTGAAATAGATTATAGATATGGTTTTAAAATGCCATTCCTATTCCTTATAAATCAATTACAATGCTCTGCAGATGGCGGAAGGCAGTGCACTATGAGTTTTAAACAACACAAAAATTGATTTTCTTTTCTGAAGAGGTGGTATATTGCTGTTTGTCCAGCCCAGAACAGAATCTCTGAGCTCAACACGTCTCTGCCCCGACCTTTCAGGGAGCTTTACTATAGGTGTGCGTTTTGAGACCTAGGTGTCCAGAAATGATGTTCAAACTTTGGGCAAGTCACATTAGTCTCATGATTGACTTATAGAAGTCACTAATAAACAGGGAATTTGTACACTGGAAAGGTTAAGGTGAGTGAACCTGAGTATTAAACATTGAAGCTGTGCTTACATTTACTAATAATTCATATTGTCCTTGTGAATGATTTTGAAGCATGTCTGCCACTAGTGAGATGGCATTGCTTATGTCAAACCCTATCATCACCATCATCAAGATATAATGGGCATCAGAAAGTCTGTGTGCATTTGAAATGTAATAAAATAAACTGATCAGAAGAATGTGACATACAAAATTTACCTGGTTGAGACTGGTGTGGTAGTGACTCAGGTTTGGAGATTGGACGTGAATAATCCCTCAGCTGAATGGATTTTCAAGTGAGATACTTAATTAATATTTTGGAATTCAATAAATATTAATCATTTAATATAAATATTCAAAGTCATTTACCTCTGGGTGAGGACATTTTTCAGCCCACACTAAAAGAAAAAGGATAAATTTATTAATCTCCTTCACAATGGGAACTACAAAAGTAACTTTATATAGGCTTTGGATGGCAGTGAGTTCTTATTCCCTTCTTCCTAAATAAACACCTATTAGTTTACTGGTTAGGACAACAGCTGACAGAAATGACTGAAACATTCTAAAAGCAATCTATAGTTTCAATGTAATCCTCATCAAAACTACAACATAATTAGTCAGAGAAATTGAAAAAAAAAATAACCACACCAGCATGAAAAAGCCTTTCAGCTCCACACATAGAAATAAAAACAAATGAACAAAGAAAAAACCCTGGAGAGAGGTAAAACAAATCCCAATACAAAAAGAGTTGGAGAAACCACCATCCCAGATTTCATGATTTTTACAGGTCTAGAGTAATAAAAACATCATGGTTTTAGCATCACAGTATACGTGTTGATCAATGAAATCAAACTGAACACCAAACATAAGTTCACACACCTATGGACACTATTTTTGATAAAGAAACTAAAAAGACACTCTGGAAAAAAACAGCTTCAATACATGGTGCTCACCAAACTTTATGGCTTCAAGAAGAATGCACAGAGAACTATATTTCTAACCCTGAATAAAACTCAACTCCAAGTGGATCAAGGATCTCCAAATGAGACCAGAGACCCTGAATAAGACAGAAGACAAAGTGTGTAATAGGCTTGAACTGACTGGTACAGGAAAAAAACTTTCTGAATAGGACACCTGTGGCACAGGCACTAAGATCTACATTTAATAAATGGGACCACATGAAGCTAAAAGCTTCTTTATGGCAAGATATGTATACCAGTTATGGGATTTTAAGTAATCACTCCACCATATAATAGTGTTATTGAAATAAATTATAGATATGAATTCTAAATACATTTCCTATTTCTTGTTACTAAATTACAGTGCAGTACAGATGAAGGTAAGATAAACATTATAAGTTCTAGAACAAAACAAAACCTGATTTTCTTTCCTGAAGATGTGGTATACTGCTGGCTGTCCAGTGCAGAACAGAATCTCTGATTTCACATATGTTTTTGTTTTTGCTTTGCCCTTTCTGGTAACTTTGAGTACGACAGGTGTTCATTCTGAGACCCAGGTATCAAGAAATCATAGTCAGACATTGGAGAAATCTCATTAGTCTCAAGATTGACTTCTATAAGTAACTAATAAACAGAGAGTTTGCACACTGGAAAGGATAAGGCCTTAGATCATGAGTATTAAACATTAAAGCTGAGCTTATTTTGCAAATATTTTATATTTCCAATGTAATATATTTTCCAGCATGTATGCCACTATCAGATGGCATTGCGTATGTCAAATTCTATCATCACCATCATCAAGATATAATTGGCATCAGGAAGACATTGTGCTTTTGAAATTTATTAAAATATCTTGATCAGGAGAATGTGACTTACAAAATTTACCTGCTTGAGATTGCTGTGTTTCAGACTTGGGTTTGAGATTGCTGTGTTTCAGACTTGGGTTTGGAAATTCGATGAGAATAATCCCTCTGCTGAATGGGTTTTGAAATGAGATATTTAATCAATATTTTGGACTTCAATCAAGATGTAATTATTAAATATTAATATTAAAAAGCATTTACCTCTGGGTGTGGACATTTTTCAGCCCAAACTGAAAGAGAAAAATGTAGAGTCAGTCTCATGCACAATGAGATCACCAAAACTACCTTTATGTAGGCTTAGGATGGCAGTGAGATTTCATTCCCTTCTTTCATAATAAACTCCTATTATTTTACTGCTTAGGACAAAAGCTGACACAAATATATCGAAAATTAGCAAAGCAACTTAAAGATTCAGTGCAAGAGCCATCAGAATTCTAATATAATTTGTCAGAAAAATTGAAAAAAAGAAAAACCAACCACAACAGCATCTAAACACCTTTCAGGTTCATATGGAAATCCAAAAAATAAAAATAAAAAAATAAAAAACCAAACAAAAGAATGGAGAGACTCCACCAGCTCAGATTGGACCAAGAGGTGAGTCCCTGTTCTCCTAGGCGCAGTTACAGGCCAGCAGGCAACACTCCTGCAGGCAGGTCTGATTCCCACCACCCCATCAGATCCTTTAATCACAAGTCCTACTCTGTCCCTCTAAGTCTACCCACCACACCAAGACTACAGCTGCTCCCTGAGACACACACTCTGCTAGCTCCAATTGAACCAAGAGGTGAGTCATTGCTCTTCCAGCCAGTCACCTAGCCTCTAGGCCTTAGGCCCAGGGGCACAACCCATGCCCCCGTTCCCCCACCCATTGCAGCCCCAATTTCAGGCCAGTTGGAAAGTCTCCTGCAGGCAGAACTAACTACCTCCACTTCACATAAGACTCTGTTATCTACAAGTCCCACTTGCTCTCCCAAATCCACCCACCCCCCAAGACCATAGCTGTTCCCTGAGACACAGACTTGGCTGGCTCCCACTGGACCAAGAGGTGACTTACTGTACTCCCAGCCAGTCACTTTGCTTCAGAGGCACAACCCAAGCCTCCTTACCCCCACCCATTGCAGCCCCAGTTGTAGGCCAGCAGGCAAGACTCCTGTAGTGAGGTAACCCAGGCTCAGAAAGACAAACATGATATGTAATCACTCATCAGTGGATACCAGATGTAAAGAAAAAAAATAATCAGACTACAACGCACAGCTCCAAAGAAGCTAGGAAACAAGGAGCCTAAGAGGGACACATGGATTGCCATGGGAAGGAGAAACAGAGGAGATCTCCATGAGTAAAGTGGGGATGGGGGGCAATAAAGGGGATGAGATGGAGCATGAGAACATGAGGGGATGATGGGATGGCTGAGCTGGGGGAGGGACAGAGTGGGAGAGCAACGAAAGAGATATCTTGATAGAGGGAGACATTATGGGGTAAGGGAGAAACCTGGTGCTAGGGAAATTTCCAAGGAATCCACAAGGATGACCCCAGATTAGAAGACTGGCAAAAGGGATAGGGTGCCTGAACTGGCCTACCCTGGTATTCAGATTGGTGAATTCCCTAACTGTCATCATAGAGCCTTCATCCAGTAATTGATGGAAGCAGATGCAGAGATCTACAACCAAGCAGCAGGCTGAGCTCTGGGAGTCCAGTAGAAGAGAGGGAAGAGGATTCTATGAGCAAGGGGGGTGGGGTCAAGATTATGTAGGGAAATCTACAGAGACAACTAAACCATGTTTGTAGGAACTCAGGAACTTTAGACCAACAGCTGTGGAACCAGCATGGGACTGGACTAGGCCCTCTGCATATGGAAGACAGTTGTGTAGCTTGGTCTGTTTGAAGGCCCCCCGGTAATGGGATCAGGATCTATACCTGGTGCATGTGCTGGCAATCTGGAGCCCATTACCTATAGTGGGATGCCTCACTCAGCCTTGCTGCAGTGTGGAGGTGCTTGATCCTGCCTCAACTGAATGTACCAGGATTTGCTGACTCCCCTTGGGAGACCTAACACTTTTGGAGGAGGGGCTGGGGGTATACTGGAGGGGAGTCGGAAGAGGGATGAGATGGGGATCTGTGGTTGGTATGTAAAATAAAATTTTGAATAAAAAAAACAAAATAATGAAAGACAACACTGAATAGAGATAAAAGAATACTTAATATGAAAAGAGGATGGAGAAACCACTATCTTAGAGTTCATGTTTTGTTACAGAGGTAGACTAATAAAAACAGCATGGTTCTAGCATCACAATAGACATGTTGATCAATGAAATCAAACTGAACACCAAATGGAGGTCCACACACCGATGGACACATGATTTTTCATATAGAAACTGGAAATATACACTGGGTAAAAAACATCTTCCACACCTGATAGTGAACTAATCTTGATTGATGCATGGAGAAAACTGCACAGAGATCTGTATTTACTACCCTAAATAAAAACTTAATTCCAAATGAATCAAGGATCTCTAAATAAGACCAGAGACACTGAATAGAACAGAAGAGAAAGTGTGTAATAGGCTTGAACTCATTGGTACAGGAAAAGACTTTTTGAATAGGACACCTGTAGCACAGGCACTAAGACCCACACTTAATAAATGGGACCACATGAAGCTGCAAGTTTCCTATGGCAAGATATCTACGTAAGCTTTGGGATTGTCAATGACTGCTCCACTATATGATAGTGTATGCTGTGTTATTGAAATAGATTGTAGATAAGAATTCTAAATGCATTTCCTATTCCTTGTAATTAAATTACAATGCAACATGAGTGAAGTGAAGCAATGTGCTATGAGTTCTAGAGCAACACAAAAATCGATTTTCTTTTCTGAAGATATTGTACATTGCTGTTTGTCCAGTCCAGATCATAATCTCTGAGCTCAAATAAGTTTCTGCCTTATCCTTACAGATAGCTATGTGTGTAGGTATGCATTCTGAGATCCATCAAGAAATTATGGTCACACACTGGGGCAGTCTCATTAGTCTCATGATTGACTTCTACAATTCACTAATTGCACACTGGAAATGATAAGGCAGTCCAACATGAGTATTAAACATGAAGCTGAGCTGACATTTCTAAATGTTTTATGTTGTCAATGTAATAATTTTGAAGCATGCATGACACTAGTGAGTTTGCATTGATTATGACAAAACCTTCCACATTATAGTCAAGATATAATTGGCATCAGGAAGACTGTGTATATTTGAAATTTATTAGAATAAATTGATCAGGAGAAAGTGACTTACAAAATTTACCTGTTTGAGATTGCTGTGTTTCAGGCTTGGATCTGGAGACTAGATGACAATCATCCCTCAGCTATTTTGAAAAGAGACATTTAATCAATATTTTGGATTTCAACAATATATAATTATTCAATATAAATATTAAAAGGCATTTACCTCTGGATGTGGACATTTTTCAGCCCAAACTGAAAGAAAAAGAAAGTATAGTCAATCTTATGCACAATGAGAATTCCAAACTTACCTTTATGAAGGCATCAGAGGGCAATGAGTTCTATTCCCGTCTTTCAAAATAAACGTCTATTATTTTACTGGTTAGGAAAGCAGCTGACAAGAAATATACTGAAATATATCAAAAGAAATCTATAGATTCAATTTAATTCCATCAAAATTCAGTGAAATTTAAAAAACAACCACAAGAGCATCAAAAAGCCTTTCCGGTTCATATGGAAATACAAAAAAATCTTGGATAGATTTAAGAAGATTCTCAATACTAAAATACACTGGAGAAATCACTATCCCAGATTGCATGTTTTGTTACAGAACTAGAGTAATAAAAACATCATGGTTCTATCATCAAAATAGACATGTTGATCAATGAAATCAAATTAATGTCAAAACACCTATGAATATGTGATTTTTCATAAAGAAACTAGAAATACACACTGGATAAAAAAATAGCCTCCATACATGGAGATTACCAAACTTCATGGATACATGAAGAAGAATACACATAGGAGTATTTATTACCCTGAACAAAACTCAACTCCAAATGGATCATGAATCTCAAAATAAGACTAGATACCCTGAATATGACAGAAGAAAAAGTTTTTAACAGGCTTGAACTCACTGGTACAGGAAAGACTTCTCAACAGAACACCTGTAACACAGCACTAAGACCCAAATTTAGTAAATAGGACCACATGAAACTGAAAGCTTCTTTATGGCAAAGGACACCATCATCCGGCTACATATTAGGAAAAGAACTTAATCATTCAAACCTCTAACGTACAGTTAGTATCTAAAATACATAAAGAAGAAAAATTGGACTCCCAGGAAACAACTAACCCAATGATAATGGTGTTCAGGATACAAAGACAATTTTTAAAAGATAAAACACAAACTGCTGACAAACTTTTGAAAAAATGCTCATCATCTTTCTTTATCAGGAGAATGCAAACCAAAAGTACTTTGAGATTTCATTTTACTCCTGTCCAAAGGGCAAAGTTCAATTAAGCAAATGACAACTCATGCTTGTGAGGATATGACGAAAATGGAACACATGCTCATTACTGATGAGAATGTAAACTTTTACAGCCATTAAGGAAATGACTCTGGCATTTTCTCAGGAAGCTGGCTACTAATCCTTCTCTAAAGCCACCTATACATCTATCTGGCATATACCCAAAGGACTCTATATCCTACTACAATAAATACCTGCTCATACATGCTCATTATTGACTATTTAAAATAGCCTGATTTAGGAAACAGTTTAGATGTCCTTTAACTGGCAAATATATAATGAAAATGTGGTGAACTTACACGATGGGGTGTTTTGCTTCTATCAAAAAAAGGAAATTAGGAAATTTACATATAAATGTATGAAGCTAGAAAAAAATCATCACGAATGAGGAGACCCAGATCCAAACGTCAAATACTGTATAATTTCCCTTATATGTGAGTGTTAGCATTTAAGTCTTCAACATGTGTGCTAAAATCCATATAACCACAGAGACTCTGCATCAAGTAAGGGACTGCTTGCGAGAATCATTCAAGTAAAGGGAAATAGAATATATAATTGTAGAGAGACAGTGGGGGGAAGGGCGATGCAAGTGAGAGGTTAGGGTAGGAATATGGGGATGGACAATTTACTAAAGTCCACATGAAAAACCATATGGAAACATACTACTGTAGAAGATTTCTAAATACATATGCATATAAAATAAATCCAAATGGAGTCTCCAAATAAAAGAGGAGATAAAGCCCCAATTAGACATCTTTTGCTAAACATGAAACCTTCAGTTATACCTAGTTGAGTCAATGGACAAAGGGGCACCTTAGGTATCTCAGGTAGAAGAGAACTCAGAGATCCTTCTGGGACTATCTCAATTTTACACATCACACATGCTTATTAACATATGGGGCTTATTACCACATTTGTTGTCTTTTATTTAAGTGTAAATTTATTCAGTGATTTCTTTTGGTAGCACAACATACCAGCATTTGTCTTACATAAAGTCTCTTCATGATGACTCTTACCTTGAATTATTTCATTTTCTTCTGGACCATTTCCTATGTTGGATGACTGGGCAGCTTTCTGCAGTGGATTAAGGTAAAAGACACTCTGTCACATGATATTAGTAGTGTAATTTCAAAAGGTCTTATTTTCTATTTCTGAACATATCATGATATTGGACTTTAAGAAAATTGTTCATGAGAATATATGCAGTATATATCAAAAACCATGGTATTTGAATGGAGAATCTTATATACACAGTCAAGTTTAAGTCTTTCATTTCCCAATTACATACAAGAAATATAGAATAGAGGAAAAACATCCATAGACAGAGTAATGCCTGATGTGTATGTATCAATAAAAGTAATTATTTTATATTACAATGCATAAAACTAATTTGTTCTTCTTAATAAAGTTGGAGGATGTTAATCACACAAATGTTCACATCTTTAGTAAGGCCATTCCTCTAGGACATGATTAATATTAATCATGAGGTGTTATACAATGACATTATTTCTGTGGTTAGGCTTTATAGGAGATATGTATTATGTTAAAAGCATTCATATTGTATCATGCTGATTGTGTAGTGAAGAAGGCAGACTGTGCTTAATTTCGGGAAAAGTGAACAAACAAAACTGACATATTTTGTTAATTTCTTATAGATGGTAAATCTGGATCAAAATGATAAGCAGACAAGTTATTTCCTATGTTACCTTTAGACAATAACATTAGACCATTATGCAGTTTTAATATTTTGCAAATGTTTCTCAATGAACAGAAATCTTCCCCAAACACCATTTCACATTTTTGCATGTTTAATAGAATAAGCATATCTTGCTTTCTTGTCATTCAAGAATTTTAAACGTTATGAGAATATGTTGTCCACTATTCTATATGTACAGTAATGCCATCCTATTTGACAGTTACTGAGTGGACACTCCCTCATCTTCTAAAACATGTTAGGCTTCATACTTTGATCTCTGATGACAAAATACCATTCTCACTCCTACCCTGTATTAACGACAATCTTACCTAAATATCTCTCTGTACCATGTGTTTTCTTTATGACAAAATGCACCTATCTGAACTAAAACAGTTGCTTTTTACTTGTTTTGTGTTCTATTACTATAGCATATTAGGCTTCCCTCTGAAATTCTCAGTTCTTGATTTCTCAACATAGAGTAGATATTGACTATACAGATTTATGTAGGTTTAAAATATTAAAAATGTCTTCAGAACATACTCCTACTTCAGTAAGTACCTAACATTGTGTAAAAGGGAAACTATAGTGTCTTGAATCTGTTTAATTCTCTATATTAATTCAATTCCCAATATATATATATATATATATTAAGCATATTGGACAATAATGTGGAAATAATTAATTTTCTTCATTGAATTGAGCAAAATAGTTGCATTTTTCCTTCACAATTGAGCGTCTTTTATGGAATCAAAAATTCTTTCTGTTGGCAGATTAGTTGATTATATGTCCACATTATCTTCTCAAATGAGGACCTTGAAATAACCCAATGACCATAAGGAAAAAATTTCTCCTTGACATAACTGAGTATAATCATCACATAACAAATTTAGTTTCTGCAGGAAGAATCAACTTTATGAAATAAATCCAACCCTGAAGGCACAATTTTATGTCATCCACTATTTTAAATAGAGAGCCATAAGACTCTCCAGCTACATAAAGAGTTTAACATAAAGCACAAGTAATAATCACATAATTATTTACTAAATTACTTATAAAAGACAATGATTGGCTGTGTGACTGGATTCTAAGAATACCCTGTGTTTTATAATAGGTAAAAGACTCATTTCAATGTTAAATCATCACTGATGGACTGAATATAGTAGCCTGACGTGTAGTTTCTTTTGGCCTATGGTAAGATCATCAAACAAAACTGTATTAAGTGAGAAATTTAAATTTAAATAGTTACATACCAACTTTTGATAGTCTTAATTCTTATTATAAGCATTTTCATTTTCCAGTTTTAAATCTGGTATTGTTTCTAATTCTAGTTCTTCTGACATATCCACATATTTTATTTAAAAAATAAATATAGCAATTAGATACACAATTTTCTATGACAATAGATTGAAATACATTCACAATTAGAATTTAGAAAAAAATTTACTCTTATCAAATATTTCAATTAAATGTAATTTATAGATGAATATTTACATGCTTAGATAAATGCCCAAGTTGTAGAAATACCTGTATATCACTTGTACAGAAACTGCATGTTGCTAGCTTCAAGACATCCAAATACTTGACTAATTCATCTAGTAGTTAACACACCTCTCATAAATGACCAAGCTCTCTAATATCTACATTTTCAGACGTCATCAATTTTTCAGAACATTTATCCTGTGCTCACACCCACAAGCACATTCAAAAATGTACAAATTAAGGAAATTGGACAAGGATTATGAAATAATTTTTTTTATTGAAACTGGCAAAATAGTTTTAGTTGTAAGGCCCTATTGCTCAAGACTCCACACTTTAGACACAGAATTTGGAGTAATTTAGCTGGACGTGACATAGAAACCTGCTCTCATACTATGAGAACATGCTATGCAAAGTGCCAAGGGAGATAAGCAATCAGTAATTCCATAACCAAGATGTTGAAAAGCCTGGCAAGATAATGCTCATGGTAGGATAGTGACACTTTTATTTTTGGGGTAACCAACAGCTGTCCTATCGGTCCGGAGACCCACTTAATGAGACATTCATTCCTGGTACTGGGAAACTAATCAACTATCCATGGATGGAGAAATCATAAACACTAGGAGTCATCAATTACTCCCATTTTCTTATAACAGTATACTTACTGTGCTCTAAATATGGTTTTTATAGTCACAGTTATACCCACAGAAGAAAGTAGCTGTCATTTCTCCTCAAAGAATTTACTTTACACAGTACATAAAAGTATTACAGTATATACAATTAATCAGACTCCAAGGAGTGACCATAATATGCCCCAACTCCACTTATAAAGT